TCATGCATGAACCACATGTGCCTTCATATTAGCAGGTGTACATCCTCTACCAGGTCTGGAAGTTTGTTCAAAATAAAATCCCTATAGACAGATCCTGTAAGACAAGCTGAGAGAACATATGGACCAACCAGACAGTCACCTACAATTCCAGCCCACATATTATCTTAAACTGATGCTGGTGTCTAGCCTGTATTGTAAAATGAGGATTCTGATTTGCCCACAAATGTTGGTTGCATAAATTTGTTATTCCATCTCTTCCAAATGTTGCCTCATCTGTAAACAAGACTGAAGAGACAAACAATGGATTGGCAGTTTGTGGAATAAAACATCAACAAAAGTTTTCCCATGGTGAGTGATCAGAGGGGGAAAGACCCTGCACACTTTGCAAATGATACAGGAGATGATCTTGAACTACCCTCCATCACGTACTATGAGATGTACAATATGCTAAGGTCAGGTGACATGCACTCATACCTGGATCATCTTCAACAGCATACATATGTTCTCCGTGGTCAAGTATACAAGCAGATCTCAGTCTTCCTTGATTCATAGTTTGTAATGTAATGGATCCTGTCTCAGCAACACAATGATAAACAGTAGCAAAAGTTGGATGACTCGGCTGTCTTCAGTCTTGTAGCCTCACATCCATTACAATTCACACAGCCATATGTAAAAAAGATCTTAGCCTGTTCACAATATGAATATCCTGCCATTGATAAATTTAACACTTCTCTATAAACTCAGTACTACAAACATTAAACACTGACAACAGACTAGCCACAAATGTACATGAATGACAAATGTAACCTAGTCTATATGAGAACATAGCCCAATCTACTGTAAACTTTCTTTAAACTTAACTCAAAATGAAGGATTTGTGGACATATGTTTATATGGAATTTTGTCCTTGTTTTAGTGTGAGGAATTTGTCCCCAAAGTTTGTAAAAGTATTTTATATATATATATATATATATATATATATATATATATATCTCCAATGATGTTTAGTAGGGATAATTCCAAGTACAATACTTTTTTTTGTTTTCCCTTTACTTGTATCTGAATAAATTAAAAATCCATTTCTCAATATAAACTTGTTCTGAACAATTGGGGATTTTGCCCATGAAATAAATTTATTACCACCAATTATGAATCTTTAAGGATTCCTTTATATATATATATATATATATATATAATATATATATATATATATAAAATTCTTGTCCCTCTTTTAGTTAGCATGACAGTTACACCCTGACAATACCTCATAAATAATAGACTATTCCATTTTGACTTGAAAAGATGGTAAAGACATGCTACTTGGGTTTAGTGAGAAAATGAAAGAAAAAAAAGAAAATAAGGAAGATAGAAGTGTTTAACATTTGTTTCAATGAAATGGAAAAAGTTGAGAATTTCAAATCTTCACTCATACCTCCTTACCTCTTAAAATAATGATCTGTATTCATATTTGTGATTGTTATTGCAATATTTTGTTAAAAGTTGTTAAACTCAAACATTTAACAATGTGACAGGGGAATTTCTACGGATATTCTATCACCATAGAACTCACCATGAGCTGATTCAATCATTAACTGAAGGATTAAGATACATCAGAAAATTCAAATAGGAAAGCCATGAAAATTTTACAGCTATTTTTAGTATGTATGAATACAGGGTACAGCAAAAAAAAAAAAAAAAAAGTCCCATATAATGGTAAGCAATTAGCTACAATGTATGGCAAAAATACTGCCCACATAATGGTAAGATATTAGCTAGATGAAGACACCATTGCCATTTGTCTAAGTTCACTAGCACAACAGAGATGAGTTTTTAAAATGTAGGAGGTATTTCTGCTGCACTCTATAGCTAATGCCTTACCATTATGTGGGTGATATTTCTGCCACACCCTGTATAACATAAATATATAAAACAAAAGAGGGAGGGAGAGCAAGTGTGATAGTATGGACACCAACATAAATACACCAACATAGAAAGGAATTGGTTGTCTTGAGATCAAGTATTTCTGTTTGATGGACCAGTAACATCTACTTTGACAGGAGAATGAGGAGGAGTGAATTGGGGATTTCCAGAGATCAAGTTACAACAAAACCGGAAATAGGGTATATCCAGGTGATGACCTACATTAACAGTTACGCTTGGGATCAGGGATACACTCTTGGGAGGAGACAGTCTTGTCTGCTGAGCAATTCCAAAGCTTCTATTTTATACTGACAGCTGCCATACCGAGATGAGTAGTCAATAGGGGAAAGAGCTAACATAGCAAGACTTGTCCTAAGTATCACCTACCTAATCACCCAGACAAGCTGGTAACCTTCCTTAACTAGATCAAGAATTGAAATGCAACATGGTAGAAAGCTTGGCTGAGTTACATGTTATATATTTACACAATAAGAGAAAAAAAAACATTAACCAGTTAGTCATTTCAAGTCTTTGTTTATTTTTCATTTAACATTTATGATAAGTCATTACTTTTCCTTATCCTTGCTTTACCTCCCTTTTTTATTTTATATATATATATATATATATATATATATATATATATATATATATATATATATATATATATATATAAATAAAAAAGAACAATTTTACCCTTCATAAGAAAAAAAAAAAACAGCTCACTGGTTTCACCCTCACTCAATAGAGGTGGAATTGAGGGAATAAATATCACAATGTAAAAAATAAAAGACATATAATGCACAATATTAAAGGTGGAACAATCTAGATTGAAATAACATTATTTGCTCAAAATCAAAATTAGATGAAGAGATAAAAATCACCAAAACTTTATCTAATAATGGGCATCCATTAGATGTGATTAGGTCAGTCATTAGTAAGAAAATATCTAATTTTTCTGAAAATAAACTGAGTATGGCTACTAAAGGCCCAATTTATTTTCCTTTGCCTTGGATGGGTGCAGTAAGTGAAACATTTGCCAAACAAATTAGCTTAGCAGATGAGAATTGTAATTTTTCATCTAATGTACGTATTGTGTTTTCCACTAGGTCTGCAAGGATGTCTACTCAAAAGGGTGTTCTAACCCCCCCCCTACTATATTAATAATATTATTTACCAGTTTAAATGTAGTTGCAGAGCTGACTATATAGGTAGAACTAACATACAGCTAGACACTAGAATGCATCAACTAGAATGCCTAAGAAAAGTAGGAATGATACATTCCAATTGAGTGATGTTGTCAACAATACATATGGTTCTGCAATTACAGAGCACTTCATAAAAAGTCCAAATTGTGCCATCAATTTCAGCACTGGCTCTTTCACCATCTTGAGTCATGCTCATTCACTTTTACATTTAAAGGCATAAGAAAAAATTTATGTCAAGTCCAGACAGCCCTCCCTCTATAAAGATTGTTCCACCTTTTCATTATATGTCTTTTATATTTTATAGTGTGATATTTATTCCCTTAATTCTAGCTCTTTTGAGTGAGAGCAAAACTGGGCATTTGTTTTTTTTTGTTGTTTTTTTTTGTTTTTTTAAATCATGAAGGGTAAAATTGGTCTTACCTTTTTCTTATTTTCATAATAAAGTTCTGTACACCAAAGAAAATTATAACATACATGTGTGTGTGTGTGTGTGTGTGTGTCATCCACATACAAGCCTGTTTCACTGTATCACAGCTTATCAGTGTGGCTAGACATCCAATTGCTTTAAGCCAGGATTGAAATTCAACTGATTTGTCAGTCAGAGATCTTACCCCTAATCTATCAATGCACAACAGAGAAAGGGAAATTTTAACGTATTATATATGAGATGTATACAAACATCCAGTAGTCAATAGTGCTCAATTCATAACTGAAGAGCAAGGTGCAGCAGCAGCCATTGTTATATATATATATATATATATATATTTTGAACAATAAAAAATATTAAAAAATTAAAATCTCCAGACACACTGGGTTGTAGATTAATATTCTTTCGCTTTTATTATTATTTCATTTAGATTCCTCAACTAGTTTTGGCCAACATGGCCATCATCAGGAGAAATGTTTGCTGGTAGCAGTGAACTACAGAAATGAAAAATATATAAGTGTGTGTGTGTGTGTGTATATATATATATATATATATACACACACACACACGGCTGGTGCAAGAATCTCGTAGACCCCCACTGAATCTATGATACCAGGTCCCTACTCTACTACATCTCAATTTTTTTTTTTTTTTTTTTTTTTAGGTAATATTCATATAAAATATACATTTTATTGCAACCTAATTATGTACAATAATGGATCATATGTAATATAGGGGAACAATTCAACTAGAAAAATTGTAAAATAAAATACAATGTATCTAAATACAAATTAGAGATTTTTCTTGTTAAAATATTGAATAAACATATTGAACATTATGGATAAAAAGAATAGCAAACTTTATATATATTTTTTTTTTTTTTTAGACTTAGCATGAGCAAAAACAAATTCATGGATTGAACAAAGAAAAAAAAAAAGACCTCTAGAATGACATGAAAATCTGCAAAAAAATGTTCATCCTTTAATAGTAAGTTGTGCTTAGTTTAATTTGTAACATATATTAAAGTAAGTAAAAAAAAAAAAAAAATGTTAAGATAGTCATAAAAATTTGCCTGGGGCCCATATTAGGCTTGGGCCCTGGAGTGTGTATGTGTGTGTGTTTATATATCTATTTTTAAGGCCCTAATAGAAGCAAAAGTATTTCACACCATCTTTCATTTATTTGGGATCAGTTCTCTCCACTTACAAATCATTGACAATAAACCAGGTGACTTTTTAATAAATTTATTAACATTACAAAGGCAACAACATGCACTTAGGGTTTTCAGAAATGCAAATACCTTTATAAATATGCCTATGGTTTATAAATAAGTGTTTAAGGCATCATTTGGTGGATTTATTGCGATTTGATGAATTTGTAGATTATGAAACTTGAATCTGAGCAAACACGTCACATTCTTCCATTGTAATGTAATTTTTCACATGGTTTCAAATTGATCCAAGTTCCATGTAAGGTGTATGAACATTTGAAAGACTGAAAAAAAAATAAGTGTAGATCAATACATCTGTAGCCTGACACAGTTACTAGTTTTTTCTCATTGTATATGTACATAATTAATGAAGTGCTGGATTAAGTGCATTGACAGGAAGGAGATTATGCTGAAAAATATTTGTGTAAAAATATGTTCTGTTTATCATTAGCTATATATATATATATATATATATATATATATATATATGTTTATGCATGTATGTATGTATGTATGTATATACAGTGTAACCCGGATATAAGAGAGATTTTCTCTGGTCCCAAATTAGAGCCTGTGTTAATGTATATAAAATAGACCAAACCTGGATATAAGAGACTTCTTCTCCGTCCCACAACTCTCTTATATCTGGGTTACACTTATATATATATATATATATATATATATATATATGTGTGTGTGTGTGTGTTGTAAATGTGTTAAAGAATTTCATTTTTGTTAAATTTTAATATTTTTATTATTTACACTCAGATTATTGTTCTCATCTTTGTTGTTATTACCACAACATTTTGACCGTTGTGCCCTCTGTCCTTCATCAATCCAAACAAGCAGCAGAAAATTTTATACTGAACCTTTTTTAAATTGTTTACATTCTACTGTCTATCTTTAAGTATATCTTGTCTTGTTCTTATTTAGTTCAGTTATTAATTGCCCCGTTTCCACAGCGCCTAAATCTACCTGACCCTGGGATTAAATTCACAATTACAATGCCATCAAATTCACGAATATCCTGTGAGACATTCCTGAGTCTAGAACCTAAAGCCTGAAACCTACTTTAACCTGCTGCTGTTATTGATGCTTGTCACAATTGACTGCATTCATCATGGCTGCCCCTTTCTTACTACTGCTGCTATTAAAGCTTTGCTGTCATTTCTCTTTCTGTATATTAAATAAAAGGTTCCATTTTAAATTCCCTGAAATATACCCGGCTCAACAAGCACCTGATGAAGGCCAGAGAGTCCAACAGCTGAAATGTTATGATAATAACAACAACAATGCAGACAATAATCTGAGTGTAAATAATGCAAATAACAATAACTCCTCATCCCAGAAATTCATACAGAAACTTACTTAATGTGTAGATAAAATAATTAAGAAAATATTTGAGAACAATGTTTGCATAAGGCAGTATCATTTCTTTATTAGTATGTAGCAAAAGTGGTTACTAGAAGTTATTATTCTAACACTTTTGCCAAAAACCTGACCAGGCCATGAATTTTTGAGCACTCTGCTATTTAGTAAATTTTAGTTCTTTACTTCGTAACATTTTAATACATATAAGATACTAATTGTACGGGATAAGAAAAATTTTCTAAATTCCTATTGCAGTAAATTGCAATAAATATTAATTCGTAAAAGCCATGCAAAGAATATACATTAACTGATTTGACTCTTAAAATTCAGTAACACATTAATTGTTCAAGGGTAATAACTCTATAAGGGAGAGCACTCTTACCGAAAGACGATGTTCGTAAAAATATTTGGAAGAAAAGTAAATTGGTCACGTATATGTAAAGAGTAGACATTGCCTGGCGTCTGGCCTATCAATATAGTGAGTGATTTTTACAGGGAGCATTTGTGGTTTGGAGACGGACTAAACGTATTAAGTGCCTATATAAAAACATTAATTGGCATCTTTATAATTGCAATAGGAAAGAAAATTATCTAGTGGTATTTGTATCTTATAAATATGATATATCATATAAAACAAGTTTTACACTTTGTTACATTGTCTCCATTTTTGCTTTGGATACTATAATACATCTTGCTAACATATATATATATATATATATATATATATATATATATATATATATATATATATATGTGTGTGTGTGTGTGTCTGTGTGTGTTATTTCAACCATTATTATAGTTGATGCTTCAATTTTCTTTTTTTTTTTTTTTTTTTTTTTTTTTTTAATTATTAGTAATTTTTCTAAAGAACCTAATGGATTTCTATTAATCCAACATATATTTTTATCATTTTAAAAATTATTTTTAGTGGATACTCATATTTGAGTAGATGCTCCATTTATTTATAAACAGTAGATTTATTTACCTTCATCTACCAGCCTGAATGTTCAGGAAATCTTATTAAAGAAAAATTTACACTCTCCGGCAGGATTCAAATTTGCATCCAGCTTTCACTGTGTGTATTGCATTTATTAACCTGTGAATTCAAGAAATCTTAATAAAGAAATTATGTCCCCAGGCAGGGATTGAATCAGCATCCTCTCTTTCTAGAGAAAACCATTGTTAGATTCATGTTCTACTACTCAAATGCAAAGTATACACTATAATAACAATTTAAGTAATAAAGATTTGGATGATAGTCCATGTAAATAGTGTACATATTACCTCATCTCAGAAATATAGACAGATACTGAAAGATGTTGGATTAAATGAAAATATATCCATTAATTCTTTCAAAATATATATTTATTTTATATATTTTATTTATTTCTATGATAAAATATGCTGGATTAAAAAATAAAATCCTTTAATTCTTTAGAAATTACTTTACATTTACATACATTATATATGTTTTCTTTTATATAACTTAACAGATTGGACAGCCTTCTCTAACAGTAGAGTTCATAAGAGAATTTGAATCTTTCCAAATCCAACCACTGTTGTGACTTTGTTTCATATGCTTGGTAGATAAGTGCTAAGTAGAGTTAGCTTGTAACTTATTTATATTGCAATATGACTGATAATTGGATCTACAGAAATTTGTGTCCAGTTTTGCAGCTGAAAAGAGTTCTGACAAAACAAAAATATTTTAAAATATTAGAATTATAAAATGAAATTCAGGATGTACATTCTGCAATTTGTTGATCGAGTCCCTATCATACCATGAACAGTTTGAAAAGCCATTTTCAAAGTGTAAATATAGAAATCTGGGCAAACATTAATAAATATGTCAATAATAAGACAGTGTTAAAAGGATAATTAAAAAAAAAAAAATGAAGTGATAGGAAAAACTATCTTCACTCTTTGCAATGTTTATTGTCTTAAAAAAAAAAAAAAAAAAAAATGAACATAAGAATTGTAATAAAATCCAAACATGAAAGTGAACTTATATCTTTTCTTTGTTCTTGAGAATTGGCAACAAAAATAATAAACACTATTAGATTGTTTCTTGGAATAGTTGACAAAATTTCAGCTAATTACCAATTGATTTGAACTTTATAAAATGGTAAATAAGGATTTCCTTATAGTTCACATATTTTAAAAATTAAATGTTTATAAATTTTTCATATTTATTTCTTTATAAATTGGGAAATGATAAATATTTCTTTAGTTCTAATTGTATTAGTTTTTAGAATGTTATAAATATAAAAATTATTCTTGTAAATAAATAATCTAATAAATAATATTTAATATTTTTGTTGTAAATTCTCAAGAACAAAAAAAAATGTATAAATTCACTTTCTTTATGTGTTTCGGTTTTATTGTAATTCTAGTCATCACTTTTTAAAACAATAAATATTGCAAAAGAGTGAAGATAGTAAAAAAACAAAAAAAAATGCGTCATGGGGAAAAAAAAAAAACATTCTTTTAGCACTATGATTTATTGCAGGCACATTTATACATGTTTGTCAAAATCTGCTATCAGAGATCATATCGATCTATAAAAGATTTCAGCAAATATGGGTGGCAGGGAGAAAGGGAACAAAATATAGTTTCTGGAATGAACAACAAGAAAAAAAATAATCCAAGTTCACTTACATTGAATCACTTCTGACAGCACCTGTTAATAAAATACATTAAAGATTAAAAAGAAAAATTGTTCATTAAATGAATGCAAAAACAAATTTATTTATATATATATATATATATATATATATAAAAAGAAAAAAAAAACATTAAAACTTATTTTGAACCTTCACATAACAGATTACATATTTAATAGACTTAATTTCAACTAAAATTCTGACAAAATCCACTGTAAAAACATGGAGTAATATATTATATATTCTTTATTATAACTTAATATATTATATATTCTATATTATAAATTAATATTAACATTTTTATATCCAATGACTGAAATGTGTATATAAATGTAATCACTATGAAAGGTAGTAATCATATAGTAATAAAGAGATTTCAAAAAAATATGACTGTCCATTAAAGTTTAACTTTATTAGCCTTTTTCATGTTAATTAAAAAACAGTTCTCTTCATTCCCTCTATCAGGAACTTTGTTTTTCACCTGTGTACTTAAGTATCAAACCTAGTCTATTGTTTGTCAAGGCTTTCTGAGGCAAAGTCCTTAATAGTATAATAGTAAGTAAAACTGTCTATATTTCTGAGATGAGGCATTATGTACATTATTCAGACTATTGTCCTCATCTTTGTTGCCATATTTATTACAACGTTTCGGCCATTGTACGCTCCGGCCTTCTTCAGGTGGTTGGAATGTCGAACTGAACCCTTTATTTCGCTCACTGGGGTAGACTGTTCTAGTTCCATGTGCCATGTTTAATGGATGTCAGTTATCAGTTATCTACTGTTAATTCCCCTCTGAAAGTACTCCACTGCCTTAACCGGGTATTGAACTCACACTCTTTGGGTCCTGTCACTGGATCTAACACCTTTATCCACTGTGCCAAAAACAATTCTTCAGATAATTTTAGAGTTGTGAACTTGCTCTAACCAATATTTGTGCAGTCTGGATCTTTAGTTTTCATTCAGAGCATCCCTCACATAACAATAGATACTAAAAAGTAAGTAAAAATGACTTGTAAAAGTCTAAGGTACGGATTTAACAAAAGAAATCAGCTTGAATTATGAAACTCAGTCACAGGTTGCAGAAAAGGTAAGATGTTACATTTCTTAAAAAAAAAAAAAAAAGGCATGGGTGGGGAGAAATAAAACTAGCATTTTTTAAATATTTAAAAAAAAAATTAAGTAAAAGGTTAATGATCTTGGGTAGCTTTTAACACATTTCCTGCTTTAGGATACACATATGGCAGATTGCCTGACACATATGCATCTATACCATGGTTTTATTTATGCTTATTTTAAGTCATGGATTGGAAAAAAGAGCCCAATTCTAATAGACTATTTTGTAATTTCTGTCCAAATTTTTGAAATGAGGAGTTATCATTATTTATTATGTATTCCTTGTAGGCTACCTGGATTTGCACACACCTGATGAAGGCTAGAGGGCAACATAGCTGAAACGTTGTGATAACAAAACAAAGAAGAGGACAATAATTTGCATGTAAATAAAACTATTTTGCAACATAAGACATGTTTTTCCACATAATGTCTTGTCTGTATTTTCTTTCTTTCAACAACAATTTTCAATAGCAATTCTCTTTCTAACCTTGATTTCTAGAGCTGTTGTTTATTAAAAAAAAATCCCCATGACACACAGAAATGTCTTAATGGAGAAAATAAACAACCTCTGTGCCAAAGATGTGTGTTATCATGTTTTATACATTTAATTTGATTTACTAAAATAAAGCATAGACTTTTATTGCAATCCCTACTGATAACTATTACACAAATATAGTAAGAGTTCAAATATACAACATAGCAGTGAATATATTAATAAAATTTTATTTACTAAAATAAATTATGTCAAATCCCTCTATGAGGGCTACTGGTACCATGTAATCCAATACTACCTGCTGCAATATCAGGTCAATAAACTGGTTCCCCCACCAGGTGTTTCTAGTGAGGAGGCTGGCTAGACAGTAAGTTTAAAAAACAAAACCTGTCAAAGGGTGGATGAAGCTTCTGGTAGAGTCAGCAGTCATCTATCACAGACTTGACTCCACAGCTATGTACACAGGCAATGAAGTGATACATGGCATCACCGGGTGTAGGCCTTCCTAGACTGAAGACGATATCCGAGGAAAGGTATCTTTCACTTTCCCAACGCACCTTAAGATTTTCATGTCACACCTTATGGTTTGTTTTGGTTTATGGCATATCAACACCACATTGGGTTATTTAATGCAGACAAGTTTTTTATTGTTGGTAATATTTTTTTTCCAAAAAATGTATTGCTGGTAATAATTTTTCCTCAAAAACTTTATTGCTGGTATTAAGACCTATTTTTACACTTTCACAGTGTTTTGACCCCAGTTTGGGAGTTAACTATTTTTCCCATCCTACCAGGTGCTACCACCCTGGGTCAGGGTGGACCTAGGAACACCAGCAATTAAGAGGTGGTTTCACACTCCTCAAAACCTCCTGATCTGAGGCCTTGATGTTTGAATAGTTTATCATCATGCTCAGGATGGTCTATTATGGTATGTTCTCAACTTTATTGTTATGGTTTGGTTTGGTATGGTTTACAACATATCAATCTCAATGAGTTATTTAATGCCAACAAAATTTTTATTGCTGGTAATATTTTTTTTTTTTTTCAAAAATATATTACTGGTAAAAATTTTTCAAAAAAGTATTGCTGGTATTAAAACCTATTTTTATACTTTCATAGTGTTTTGACCCCTTTTGTGAGGGTTAACTATTTGCCCATTGCTGGGACCCTGATAGGTGCTACCACCCTGGGTCAAGGTGGACCTGGGAACACCAGCAATTAAGAGGTGGTTCCACACGCCTCAAAACCTCCTGATCACAAGCCTTGAGGTTGGACATAGTTTATCGTCTTACCCAGGACACAAATGAAGTTTATCATCATACACGGGATGGTCACACTTTGTTTTCTTTTAATACAACTTCCAGATATCTAAATTATTGCATCTGTTTAATTTTGGTATCTCCAATTTGTACTTTGCCTCTTGGGTTGCACCTTTTCTTAACAATCATTTATTCAGTCTTCTTGCAATTAATATTTAGTCATTTCTTCTTGCTTTCCTTCTCTACTCTCTACAAGAGTTCTTGTAGTTTCCTTTCTGTGTCAACTATCAACACTGTGTCATCTGCATATCTTATATTGTTAAAATTGTAGCTACCAATAGGGAATCTTGGTCGGACTTTTAATTCTCTCAGAATGGCCTCACTCTATAGGTTGAAAATGTCTTATATAGTAATGTTTTTATTAAAGCTACTGTCTTATATAGTAATTTCTAATAGATTTTTTTTTTTAGAGATTCACTGTACAAACCCTGGGAGCCACTCAGGATAGAGGGTTACAGAGTAAGTTGCACAGTTTATGCAAGGATTTATGTGAGGAAGATAACTGTTAACCCTAAAACTTGGACAGGCCAAGATTGTAGTGACCAAGAAAACATACTCTTGGAAGTTGATTCCACAGAGCAATGGTTCCTGGGGAAAAAAGTGCAACTTGCTTCTTGCCAATGGAATCCAGAGGGAATGAGGGTGGTTTGCTACAATATGCATAGCATGGCGGGTCCTAGCCATGAAAATTAGAATTGGTGTAACAAAGGAATATTGTTCATCTGAGCACTTTCATGGAAAGTGGATATAGAGAAGTGAATGGCTTGTGACATCTCATCTGTGAGAGAGGGGTTGCAATTTGGGAAATAATTTGTCACCCACAGGGATACAGAGATGCTTTTGGACTGTCGAGACTGGGCAGCACCTTCCCAAATATGACAGCATTTAAGGCCTGATCTGGCTCTTGTGAAGGTAAAGGATAACAGTATAACTGTAATAAAAACAAAGATGGCATTAGGAAAGGATTGAAGTATCTAATGTAACAGTAAACAGGTTAGGTTTAAGAAATCTTTTCTTCACAGAAAATTGTCCCATGGGACAATAGCTTAGTGGATTAAAGCATTAATTTGGTGACATAATAATTCTGAGTTCAATCCCTAAGCCAGGCAGTGTGGAAACCAGGCAAGCAACCCTACACAAGCAGTACTAAAAATAAGATCTCAACAAGATATCCATAGATATAGGCAGTCGAACGAGAATAGTCTATCCAATGGATTAAATAAAAGGTTCAGTTTTGAAGTTCCCTGTATGTTACCTGGATCAACATACACCTGATGAAGGCAACAGCTGAAACATTGTGATATCAACAACAAAGATGAGGACAATTGTCCACATGTAAATAGTGTAAATAATAATTTCTCATCCCAGAAATTCACAGTGAATTTAGCAACAGATGTGTTAAGCCCCTTATTCAGATTATTTGGTTAATCCATTCCCTAATCTAAATAATGTTAGTAGAAATCTGATGGAAAATAACTTTGTTCACTGCATTAAATTCTTTCATAAAAGCATGCATTCTTTAAGAACTAGTCCTACACTGAATCTGTCAATGAATAGAAGATGTGTTAAGACATTTACTTACCTTGCAGTCGAGGACAAAGAAGCATCTTTACTTTTATTGAAATGACAATAATGATGATAAGAAATAAAACAATTGCTCCTCCTATTGTCACTGGTAACCAGATTTTCACTAAAATGAAAAACATGAAACAATCTTTTATAAAGAAACTGACTTGGAAAACCCACACACACAAAAAGACATAGGATTGCTGCATATGCATTTTCCATTTCTTGTCTAAGAGCAGCCAATGTAATGCCATCTGTTGGGAAAATATCATACAATAAATAGTATTATTGAAATTAGATAAAAATGCAAAAAACATTTTTTTCATTCCTGAAGTGTATATACATTTTTTGGTAGACTCACATTTTCTCTGTCTCTCTCATTTTATATATATATATATATATATATATATATATATATATATATATATATATATGGCTAACCATGAAAAGAAACATTGATCAAAACTGCTTAAAACCTTTCAGTGCATAATTGCTCCCAAATTATCAAATGTTGAATACACCCCCACAAAGCACATCAAATTTTATATATATATATATATATATATACACACAACCTCAGTTCAAAATTACCTGGATTGAAAGATATCTGAAAACAAAATATTATGATAATAATAATAACAATGATGATGATATTAATTCAAATGGGAATAGTTACAGGGACAAAGCCGATGTTACTATGTTACCTGGTTATCCCAATTCCCAGACCTAAATGCGAGTGAGCACTTATGGAATATGCCGAAGCGACATGTTTATGCTGAAGAATTTTCATGTAACTTGCAGCAATTAAAAGAACCTGATGTTCAGGTCCAGGTACCAGATCCTTTAGTCTTGTATAGGTCAGGCCTGATTAGGGGAGTTCTGTCATACAGAAATGTAGAGAGACATAAGTTATTAGGCAGGGAGCAACTCGGCATGGTGTAATGGTTAGCAAGTTTGTCTCACTAGATCAGTTACGACTGAAAAGAGAGTTCGACCATCACTAGATGCTCCATACTTTCAGCTTTATACCACAACTACGCTACACTTAGAAAATAACCATAACTTATTTTCACATATCAGTTTAAGTGACAAATTTGTGAATTTAAAACCAGGTTGGCAGAGCCAGAATTAAAAAAAGAAAGCAAAAATGCTCAAGGCTTTTTCAAAATGCCGTCAAACCAATTTTAAAAATAACATGAAGGAATATTTCACTTTGTTTCTTGACATAATGGGTTTAAAATTGAAATTGAAGATGTTTCCTTGACACTTAGATTTCTATGAAGAAATTGTTATTTACATTTTATGTAAGAATGTGATCAATTTTTATACTCACTTTTTGAACAGTGACGCCCTTTGAAACCTGCTAGGCATTTACAATGAAAAGATATTCCATCATTTATACATTCTCCACTGTTTAGACAAGGTTGGCTGGCACAACTGTCATCTAAAGAAAAAAAATTAAATGATATTATTAGAACCATTACAGATTACAACTGATGGACACATCATCTTATTTTGTTGAGTACAATGGTGAATACAAATTCAAATGAACATCACAATAAAAAGAGATTTTGATATGACAATCTTTATTTTGAATTGTAGTCAGGCAGAAAGAATAAAAAGTAGGAATGGAAGAAAAAAGGAAAGGAATTAAAAGAAAAAGGAAAGTAAGGAATAGAAAAGGAGAAAGGAATAGAAAAGGAAAAGGAATAGAAAAGGAAAAAGGAATAGAAAAGAAAAGGAATAGAAAAGAAAAGGAATAGAAAAGAAAAGGAATAGAAAAGAAAAGGAATAGAAAAGAAAAGAAAAGGAGAAAGGAATAGAAAAGAAAAGGAGAAAGGAATAGAAAAGAAAAGGAGAAAGGAATAGAAAAGAAAAGGAGAAAGGAATAGAAAAGAAAAGGAGAAAGGAAAGAAAGAAAAAAATGAAAGGAATGGAAGAAAAGGAAGAAACAAAAGTAAAGAAACAAAAGGAATGAATGAAAAGAGGGAAAGCAATGAAAGAAAGGAAGGATAAAACTAAACTTAATCTCCAGTAATTTAGCAGCTAAGCAGATTTTGTGCTAGCTCTGTCCCATAACAGCTGTGTTATGTTTAACATATGAATTTGAGATATATATATATATATATATATATGCAATAGAACTATTAATGGAGCAGAGGTAATATTTATTTATATAGAATTTTACATAAAAATAAACTCTTACTGCTTAATGAACAAAATGTACTTTAGGAAAAAAAATTAACCTTAAAGAAGACCAGAGAATTTATCTGTCAAAACACAATGACCCAAGCGACAAAGATGAGGATGCTAATCTAAATAATTCACTGAGTTCACCTCATTTCCCCACCCCCCAGAAAAGCTGTATAAGCCATATTCATATATCAAAAGCCTGACATGTGAGGACAATTCTGAAGACAAATTTAGGTTCCGTTTACTGGATTTAGTGTCATACATCATCAATTCTATGGCCATCAGATAAAAAGTTGTCTTTGTTTTTTTTTATTACCTTGTCTAAGTTTGTCAAGGACTATCAAAAACATATCCAACTATGTTGTAATAATAAAAATAAAGAGAGAGACAGACTACTTTGGGTAATGGTGCCTTAGTTCACTTGGTATATGTTACTAAAATAATTTAAGATTTTTTAACACTATTATTCACCCAATACAAGACCCATGAGCCACTCAAGGTGGGGGGGGTTACTGAAATGGATGTAAGAATTGTAGCTTATGAGGATATGTAGAATAAATAATGGCTGATCCCAGACTTGAAGATAATAAAATTGTAGTGGTTGGGAAGCATGTCCTCAGGAGTCTATTCCACAAAGTAGACATACTTGGGAAAAAGCTATCCCAATGGACCTCCCTTCTTACCAACAGAATACAAAAGGAATGAGCATGGTTCAACCCTATATACATGGTGGATCTGAGCTGTAAAGGTCTGAATTAGTTGAGCTTGAGAATATAGCTAATCAGAATATTTGTCATTTTTTCCATGCATTAAATATTTTGCCATATCAGGTCTGGTGCTTCTGTAATGTTTAGAAATTCTGAACAAATTCCAAATAAAAATTTGTATAACAAGGTAACTTGTTATTGGTAGATATTGTAGTTTTAGAATTTCAGGACAACGATTTGGAATGGATTGATGTGTATTAATCTAGTCCTTATTAAATTTCCCCAGGCAGGAATATGTGTTGAGAGGCCAGTTGTGACCTTGAATTGGATAAGTCAGAGTATATGCTTTTGCTTTCGTTTCTGACGGATATGTCAGCCAAATATGTTTTTTGTTTTTTTTTTCAGAGCAGTGGCTCTGAATGAAATGGAGTAAAATCAAAACATAGAATTTAGTCTTTTAACCCATACTTCAAACAATGGAAAATAGAGTTATTTTGGCATGTGAACAGTTTGATATGTGAGTGGAGAATTATGTATAAATTGAGAATAAAGAGACATCCATGCCAGGATGACAGAAACAGACAGTCATCAAACACCTAAACACAAAGGAAGGAGCCCAATATTCACTTGAATTTCTGATTGAACCTTGCTTAACACAAATCAAAATTCCAAGTCACTGCCTTCTGATCTTTTTGTGTTAATAGATTCCAAATGTAACCAATTGTAAATTATTTTATTCACCCTCATTAAATCATCTATATTTAACCAAAACCAGCATTATTATTTCTTTGGTGAGAGCTTGACCATATTTCCAGTCAGCCCACGGCTTATTGACTAAAAGAAGACAGACAACTTTCTTCGTCAGTAAGAATCACAGCACTAGAAGAACCAAGACTGAACGATCAATGACTTATACTGGCACCAATCCCTAAACCAGTTTGGAAACCGTATAACTTTCCTTGTCCAATAGCCATGCAAACAACTGAGATATTGGAACAAGCGAGGTCCAAACTGAGCAGCTGTACATCGGCAGAAATGTGCATGGGAAGAGAGGGGGTTACATTTGCAATGTTATCAGTTCTGATCCGACATCTCAGCTTCAATCACTTTCCCATCTCTGTAATATAACTTCCCTGTGCTTTTTCTATGAATATTTTCATGACAGTTGTTCTGAACAGTTTTTCTTCTTTGGTACCTCGACTTCATGAATTTCAGCACAGTACTAAGATTGGCAGGTAGGTCACATCATTTTATTGTTGAAATTGTTAAGTATAACTGTATGTTCTTTTATAATAGTTTCTCCTCTCAAACTTCTCACCTGTGGAACTCTCTTCCAGAATCTTGCTTTCTTGTTAACTACAATCTTGAAAAATTTAAACACTATATCAGTCACCATTATCTGTCTCCTTGAATCATTTTCCTTTTATTGTCATTTCTCAAACATTTTCTCAGATTCCTTCACTGTTAGTAACTCTTTGCATTCTTAATGGTTTTATTGACTTGGGGTGAAATGATTTTCAAAATAGGCGGAAGGGGTATAGTGATAGGCTTACAACATTACATCTGTGGGAAAAGGACTCCAGGGTAAAAAAAATATAACTCATCACCCACAAGGCCACATAAACACGTCAAAGCTGGAGAAAGTATTGGCCAGATTAAAACAAGATGTGGCAGCAATACTGCATTTTGGGTTCAATCTGATTCTTGTAAAGATGAAAGAGTGACAGAAGGAGTCAGATACTATTTGAAGTGTTACAAGGAACTGACCATCTATCCTGTGTCCTTAGTGATGAAGACATACACATAAATTTCAACTGAGGAAAAATAAAAAGGCAATAGATCAGGTTTTCAAGAATTAAGGAAGTGAATATTCTTACATAGATCAGGATTTTTCAAACTATGGGTCTCAATCCTCCATTGGGTTGCAAGATAAACAAAATCGTATATGTGAGTGCAGAACATAAACAACTCTAAATGCTGCACAGCACTCATTCCTAGCTTTTCACTGAGGTAAGCACATATTATATTTTATTTCTTAATATATATATTATAAAAACATGAACCCTTAAAAAGTCATGAGATTATATTTCATTGAGACTGGAAAATTAAGGGTTCATGTTTTTATAATACTAATTATTGTTCTGTATATCCTTTTGAAAATAACAACAATGATTACCAATATTATCTATATATATATATATATATAATAATAATGACTCTCCTGTCGGTTTTGACGTATGAGGATCTGACAGCTTATTGATTCAGCTATGAAATTTTGTGCAATAATCTTAAGTGGCATTTAAGACCCGCTAGTGATTTACAAAGGAGGCCACATATGGAGCAAGTGTGAGTATTACGAGATGAGATCACTGTTAGATTGGCTGACCTTTTAGATCTTGCTCTCGCTTCTTGAAGATGATTCAGACAAGCAGATTGAAAATTGCTGAGTCCACTAAAACACGTTGATCTCCATTCTACCCGCTCCAGGGTGTTATGTGGTATATTGACTGCTGACAAGTTGCTTTTCAGCTTGTCTTTGTATCTTAGCCATGGGTGTCCTATATTCCTGTAGCCCTGATCTAACTGGCTGTACATTAGGATCTTGGGTATCCTGTCATCAGACATTCTCAAGACATGACCAGTCCACCGTAACTGAGACTGTATGATAAAAGTCTCGATTCCTCCAATATTACACCTGTTAAACAGGTCTATGTTAGATGTCCTATCTTGAAGCTTAACTCCACAGATTGCACGCAGACAGCTTTTATGAAAAACATCTAGCTGTTGTATATAGTACCTGTATGGAGTCCATGACTGAGACATACAAACGGATGGCAAGTACAACAGCTCTGTGAACCCGAATTTTTGTATCCAGTCGAATAACCCGCTCATTCCACAAGCGATGACGAAGTTTGCCGAAAGCACTGGTAGCCTTAGCAATCCGATGCATGATTTCATCATCTAAAGTTCCACTGTAATTGACTTTGCTACCAAGATAGGTGAAAGACTTTACATAGTTCAGAGGTTTGTCATACTTTCAATGGTCTCTCTGGGGGTTTTTGTTTCTCACCACGCAATTGCATGATAATATATATATATATATATATATATATATATATATATATATATCTGTTCTTATTGAATTTATGTATCTTGTTCGTCAAACTTGTTGCAGACTGAGTGACATCAATTCTCTCTCACAAAGAGACCTCACATCAAAAGAACGATGAAGAAACAGGAGGACCATTAACAGATACATTTGAAAATGCAACTTCTATGAACGTCGTTAAAGACAGTAACCTTAGCAAACAAATCTGACTTCTTTTGAGACACTTAATAAAAATATGAAAGTAACAAGAATTTGCCATGAGGAATACTTGCAATATGGTTGAAATATTAAATATTATTTACTTTACCTTTGTGATTGAATCTCCTTTAAATTTGTTTTTCTAAAAGTAATAATTTTATATCCATACAAATAAATACAAATAGATACATTAAATTCAATATGTATGGATTGTCAGAGTTAACTCCTCCTTGATTTCCTAATTGTCCAAATTGTTCCTAGGGTGCGTTATCCCTAAACTATAAATACTTGAGAATAATTCATTCTCTTTTTCCATTTTTCAGTGGACACACTTAAAAAATGTGATCTCTCGTGGAGATACATGTTTCACACTTGTGGGAAGATGTCATGAACATTATCCACACACACAAACACGTATGAATATACTTCAAAACACAAAAACTAAAGTTAATCTGCTCCAATTGAACGGCCAAAATTCCTAGTAATGAAAGACATGGTCAAAGACTGGTTATACTGCTAGTATCAAATAATCTGTCATCCCATATTTGAACCTAATGAAATCTATTAGTTAAATTGCTTGACAAATAAAAGTACTTACGATATACATGTATGGTGTATATTGCATCAAATGTGAAACCCCAACAATTAATAGAAATACCATCATCCGCTGTAGAAATGTTTGTGATGTGAAGATATGAAGATGATTCATTCAAGCAAACCATACTTGTTCGACCCTTGAGTGGATAAGAGACAGAATTGGGCTCCCATTTATGGAGCTGACCACCTTCACATGTCTTATTTGGAATGGCAAAATTGTAAGAATAGAAATTCTGGGCTCCTAGGTATTCACCATTGCTGTCTGGCCAGTTCCATCTCACAAAATAAGCATCTTGTGCTTCTGGGTTCCACGTGCAGAGGAGTGTCAGATTTGTGCCAGACAAGACATAGCCAGCTACGTCATCAGAAATTGGAGTGATGTTTGCCTGGGGAATGGCAGCTGGAAAAAAATAAAAAGTAATACATGATGAAAATAGTACCAAAATAACAGGCAATTAATCCCACAGTCTCAAAAAAAAAAAAAAAAAAAAAAAAAAACGGGACAGTGAGCAGTAATGGTTCATGTGGCTTCATTTGGTTTGGTTTGGTTCTTGGCATATCAACCTCAATGGGTTATTTAATGCCGACATTTTTAGGATAGATCCGTATGAATAGAATATGTATTCTTTGGTTTAGATTGGCTTGGTTTATTTTGTTTAACAGCATATCAACCTCAATGGGTTATTTAATGCCGACAAGATTTTTATTGCTTGTAATATTTTTTTCAAAAATGTATTGCTAATTTTTTTTTTTTTACAAAAATGTATTGCTGGTATTAAAACCTATTTTTACACTTTCATAGTGCTTTGACCTCAGTTTGTGGGCAGGGGGTCAACTATTTGCCCATAGCTGGGACCCTAACAGGTGCTACCAGCCTGGGTCAGAGTGGACCTGGGAACACCAGCAATTAAGATGTGGTTCCACACTTCTCAAAACCTACTGATCAGAGGGCTTGCTGTCAGATGTAGCTTATCATCTTACCCAGGATGTGGATGCACATTATCATCTTACCTAGGATGCTCACGTGCCTTCAAAAGATTCCTGGGTATGACAATAAACTACATCCACGTCCAGGTTAACACAATAAACTACGTCCAATAGCAAGGTCTCTGATCAGGAGGCTTTGAGGAACGTGGAACCACCTCTTAATTGCTGGTGTTCCCAGATCCACCCTGACCCGAGTGGTAGCACCTGTTAGGGTCCCAGCTATGGGCAAATAGCTAACACCGAAACTGATGTAAAAAGCATTATGAAAGTGTAAAATTAGATTTTAATACCAGAAATACTTTGTAAAAATATTATTACCAGAAATAAATTTAAAAAAAAAAAAAAAAAAAAAATTACCAACAATACGTTTTTGAAAAAAAATATTACCAGAAATAGATTTTTGACAAAACAAGATATTACCAGGAAAAAAAACTTGTCGGCATTAAATGACCCATTGAGGTTGATATGCCGTAAACCAAACCAAACCAAACCAAACGAATCAAAAGATAATTTAAATAAGCCACCGAAAATAGAGGATTATGGAACGTGGTTGTTTTATGGATGTAAGAATCTGTAGATCATGGGGAGATGTAGGATAGATAAGAGCTGACCCTAGACATGAAGAGATTAAGATTGTCGTGGTTCGGGGAGCACACTCTTAGAAGACTGGTCCACAAAGTGGAAGTACTTGGGAAGAAGCTACCCTAATGGAACTTCCTTTTAACCAATGGAATGCAAAGGGAATGAGGATGGTTCAACCCAGTATACATGGTGGATCTGAGCTGTAAAGGTCTGAACTGGTAGAAAAATGTACCTCATCAGAATATTTGCCATGGAAATAGTGATATAGCAATAGGCTTGCAAGACTGCGTCTGTAGGAAAAGGGTTGTAGATTGAAAAATAATTCATCACTTTCTTTTATGGACAAGTGCAAGAATTTCCAGACAAGTCAGGTTGCAGAATTTAATACACAGTGTTCTTCAACAAGATGAGAAGAAGTTATATCTTCATGTGCTGAATCCCTTCAGAACATGTGTGATCATGTCTCTCTACAACTTCTTATCTTTTGTAGCTCAAATGCGATGTTTACCTTTTTGCTATCCATCCATTTATACAAGCTTGTTAGGTAAGTAACTTGCCGATTCTCCTCCTCTTTCACTCTGTCCTGTAAGTATCAAATTTTCCAAGTCCTCTTTTCTCATTATGTGTCCCAAAAATCTCTTCTTTCTTATTCTGCATCCTTTTCATTCCGATTTTCTTTAAAAACTTCCCCATTGCTCACATGCGCCATCCATGGTAATGTCAACATGCTCTGTAGAACAATATTTTCATAACTACTAAGTTAAAGGAAGATGCCTATAATTTATACCAGATTTTTATAACAACTGCATTTTATAATGTTCATTAATGGATTAAGTTGTAGTCAGGAAATAAATACTTATAACAATTGGATAAAAGTATTTAGTTATAGGATAACAATTAGCAAGCATTGTTATAGACAAATTTCAATTTTTTTAAGTGTCGCAGACTTTAAATAAATGGTACTTAGCAGAAGAGATATTAACAAATATGCTCTATAAAAATTCACATTTTAATGTTCATGAAACTAAAAAAAATATCTGATTTAGTCATCTTAAACCACCATTTTTGCACATGATCGTGAGTGTTGGTTTCAATGCTTTGATAGTGTTGGATTTTTTTGAAGAATCTAACTGAATTGAAGGTGCATGAGCATGTTGCAATTAAAAAAACTGCATTACCTCAAATATATAAAGAGTACAGAATTCTAATGTATGCTTCATTCAATAATTTAGATTCAAATGAGACAACAGTGTCAATAAAACAGGATTTAACTTTAATTTTTTTAAATGATGAAAGTGAATAAATTTATAAAATTGAAATAATAAAGAATGCTTCTCTATTGAAAAAAAAAAAAAAAAAAGTTTGTTTTTTTTCCTGCATGGGTAAGAAAAATAGTCAAATTTGCTTTTTTATGTGTTTCACAATGTTTGTGTCTTGACCCCCAAAACTTCTTTGCAGTCTGCCAAGTTCAAGAATGTTGCTTATCCCTGTGGCTTCAAATCCATGTTCAGATTATTTTACCTTTTAAAATTTAATATTTAAAATATGATTTTAAAAAGATTCACATCTGCTTTTATCAGCTAATGTTAAAAGGATATAAAATTTCTATTTTATTTTTAAAATTTAAAAAGTTTTTTCAAATTTAAAAAATTTTATTTAACATTTAATGGAAATTAAAATTTGATATTACAGTAATATGGCTAAAAGTTTGCAAACTAAGAATTGGTGTTGTCACACAACAGCAAATTCAGTTTAGTTTGGTTAATGCTGAAAAATATTTATTGCTGGTAATATTTTGTTTTGTCAAAAATCTATTTCTGGTAATATTTTTCCTTCAGAAATGTACTGCCGGTAATATTTTTTTTTTCCTTCAAAAATTTATTGCTGGTAATAATATTTTTTTCCTGGTAATATTTTGTTTTGTCAAAAATCTATTTCTGGTAATATTTTTTTTTTTTCAAAAACGTATTGTTGGTAATTTTTTTTTTTTTAAATTTATTTCTGGTAATATTTTTACAAAGTATTTCTGGTATTAAAACCTAATTTTACACTTTCATAATGCTTTTTACCCCAGTTTCAGGGTTAACTATTTGTTCATAGCTGGGACCCTAACAGGTGCTACCACCCCCTGTCAGGGTGGACCTGGGAACACCAGCAATTACGAGGTGGTTCCACGCTCCTCAATATGTCCTGATCAGAGGTCTTACTGTTGGATATAGTTTATCGTCTTATCCAGGACGCTGATGTAGTTTATCATCATACCCAGGACAGAAGAACAAATTCGGATTAACAAATGTAGCATTCTCATTTCAAGAAAAAACAAGACAGGACTGAGTCAAATGAAACTGAGAAACAGCCTATGTTATTGACTAGGAAGAAATCTCAGCATGCATTTGTGTGCTTCAGCCTATAAATTGGAGAGGGGAAAGTCTTTTGGAGTCATTCTTCATGGTGATTGAAACCAACAAAATGTCTTCCAAGACTACGATGTCACTGACAGCAACTGTAACAAAAGTTATGAGAAAGGTACAAGATCCATTCTTATCATAGATCTTAACAGATCAGTAACAGTAACAAGTAATAAAATAAAATAATTACAACAATATCCTTCTTTGAACAAAGATTATGTTGTCTGGTTAGATTCAGTAACGATGTTTTTCAGTTTGCATTGCAAATGGTTTGATAAAATTATCAGTTACAACAGCCATTAATGATTGCAATGTCTCCATTTTTCAAAGCCAGTATCTCCTTGCCATTGACAGTGACATTACTCTACAAAGCAGATGGATGATGTGATTCAAAAAAAAAAAAAAAAAAAAATAAAAAAAAAACATTCTGTTGTTGCATGAATTACTACCACCTCTTTATCCCCTCCCTGAATTCCAATGTTGAGATTTTTTTGGCGGGTGGGGGGTACTCCTTCCCCTACCATTGCTTATAGTACCCATGAATTCCCAAACAGCAGTCCTCCATCTTAGTAATGACTAGGTTTGATGTTGCTCAACTTTTGTGATCAAATGAGAACCAGTGCTTTTGGCAGGATTTAACTTCATATTGTAACAAAAGTTATACAACAGATACACGATTCATTCATTTCAGGGATCTTATTAGTCCCAATAACAATGACTAATAATAAAATAAAGCAATTAGAAGACTGTACTGTAATAAAAGTTACATGAAAAATCATAGATATATTCCTACTGTAGATCTGAGCCACAATGAGACAATGCTAATCAGTACTTTATTGGTATTACTATGACAGATGTTCAGATGAGTTACATTCCTTAGTTCCATCAGCTTAGAACTTTACTGCTGCACCATATTCCAAGTGGAAAATAATCCCCATATTTCTTTTATGTTCTTTTGAAAAAGATTAAGTTTGATTCAGCTTCTTCCACAGAACTGTTATTTTCTGGAACGGACTCCGAAAGGGACACTTTCCTGACAGCTACAATCTTGGTCTCAAACCCAAAGTCAACCGATATATCTGACATGTCATCCTGATACACACTTAATTCCTCCTCCACTTCTTGCTCAGTAACCATCTACCTTGAGTGGCCCTTGGGTCTTATATTTGGTGAATAATAAAAAATAGCTAATAATAAAATTAAACAATCATATTTTGATAAAAGTTTATGTTTTAACCACAGATCTGATTAATCACAATAAGAAATTAACAACAATAACTAATTGTAAAATAAAACAATTCAAACAAGATTACGCATTCTTGTCAGGTTTTTCTTTTATTCTACATTCAACATCATCATTTGATAAGACACCAGAAGTGTTGAAACAAAATGGCTATTTTTTTTTAGTGATTTTATAACATTTTTATTTTATAATTTTCAAATAAATGATTATATTTGCTCTACTCTGTATTGAGCACTCTTTTAAGGATAGTATTTTTTTAGTTATTGGAATTTATTCCATATACACCAATCCTATACTTGGAGATATGACAAAATCTCCCCAATCATGTGCATACACACAATACAAAATCCTGAAACACTAGAATAATTCTAAGTGCAGATCCAGAATAAGTGGATATGATTTAGTCTCAAACATGTGTTTTTACCCCAGTAGCAAAATTTCTGTTGTCCACTGTCCAGTTTTATTGCAATCAACACATTTCCCAATGATTCACTCAACACACACAAAATGGCATAATGTAAATATTAACTTCCCAAAGCAAGCCACTTATTAACACAACTTACAAATATTCACAAAATAACCAAGAACACACTTGAACTTAAGCAATAATTACTCATCAGCAAACTTAACTTCTGATGCTGGTGGAATCAATAAGACTGTAGCTTGGTACTTAGGTGAATTTTGATAAGAAATTTTCAATGTTCAATTTAGGATTACTGAAGACGCATTGAGTGAATTGACAAGAAGGAATATTTCTGTCTGAATTTCTAGAATAATGGAGTTATTTACAGTCAGACTATTCTCCTCATTTTTGTTGTTATGCCATTTTATTCTGGTGCTTGTTAATTTGGGTAACTTTCAGGGAAGTTGGAACTGAACCCTTCACTTCAACTATGGGAATAGATTATTCCTGTTCTACCATCCATGTCTAGAGACATTTATTTTTTATTTTTTTAGTACTGCTCAGTTATTACTAGCCACTTTTTCCACTGAGTCTAAGTCTATACTATCCAGCCCAGGGATTGAACTCACAATTGCTGTCACCAAATTAAGCAACCAAAGTTTTAATCCACTAAGTTAAAGTTCCAAGGGAATCACTAAATTTACAAAATCAATGCTATCATCCACTAGGCTATTGTGATAATAACAACAAAGATCAGGACAATAGCCAGGATGTACATAATGAAGGAGATTATGCTGAAAAATAAATTTGGGTTGTGTAAAATCAATGCATTTCTTTATTATAAGGCTATAGACTTATTGATTTTGCTATGTATATTTAACATAAAAAGACAGAATATTAAACACCATCCAATTCTCTAACAAGCATTACAATTGTGCAATTAGGTCCAATCAAATAAATATTTTTCTTGGATTTCAAATCCTCTCTTTGGTTTTCAGTTTCATTTCTACTAGTTTTTTTTTTCTTTGATAAAATGTCATGTGTTAATGTTTTAGTCTGAAAAATATTTGCCTGCCAACAGAAACTTACAGGTCAATTACAATGGATGAAGAAGGAACCAGAAACAGCTTAAAATATCACTTTACATATACTTCAGATATATTTTCTCTTAAATAACATCATTTCCAACAAGTCTAAACCTTACTAGAATTCATCCTGGCCAACCTCCTTTTTTTCTTTTTTTTTTTTTTAAAAAAAAAAAAAAAAAAAAAAAATTTTTAGTAATATTTGGGAATCAGAAATGAATTTCTACTTGTCTCTCTCACTCACTCAGTGTCTCCGTCTCTCTCACTCACTCTGACTGTCTATCTACCAACCTCTTTATCTATCTGGCCATACTCAAACGAACAATGAATGGCTAGATTCAATGATCATATTTTCCAGTTACATTCCAAGTAGACTGATACAATTAGCAACCACAACTACTAAAGACCTCATTTTTTGAGACGGTAATTTCTTACCATTTATTGGCAGTGATTTTTCTCTATCAAGTAGATGTAAGATGCAATCCAAAACAACAATTTGTTGTTGTATGCACCATCTACACCACCTACCCATATTCCAAAGGTGAGATCTTCGTTTCTTCAAATTCCACAGACCCACAATAGCCAGACTTAAAATTAGTAAAGACTTTAAATCCCCTAAAATTAACTGGAAGAGCAGAAGCTGATTTGATCATATTGAAGAATTCAAAAAAAAAAAAAAAAAAAAAATATATATACTTTCTCATTAGAAAATGTCTCTTATATATGCAATAATGTCATTAAAAAAAAAAAAAAAAAAAAAAAACACAAATTCTCAAAAGTTAAAAAAAAATCTGTTGGATTAACTTTTCTTCCTCAATATGCACTGCACTCTGTCAAACAGGTAATCATTAACAGATAGTCATTGAAGCCCAGTCTGTATAGAAGGGACAATCATATACTCCAGGTATCTTGATTTGAGACAGCCTCTTACAACATGATGTACCAGACTTGTGAGTAAAGACAAAGCTTCTAATAATCAACTAACTTTCCTTTTCAGGGTTGAAGAGAAGGCATATAACACATTTTTATAATTTTTTACCAGGTTCTTTTGTCAGAAAATAAAATTCATTTACATTCTTCCAACTTCACTTCAGATGTTTGTTTTTTTTATGTTTGGGCCAACATCTGTAGGAACAGCAGATACTGCCAAATCTATACATGTGTATTTGGTAAACCTAATAATGACACAAACCACCTCATCTCAAAAATTAAGACAAAATGAAAAATAATTCAAACAAAATAAAAATTCATTAAGTAAATACCTTCAAGACTCCTGTAAACCATTAGAATTGTAAGGGCACCTCCAGTATTGCAACAGTAACAGCAATGGTATGTCTAAGGCAAGATGGCTTTATTCAGGATGGTTTTGTATTAAGATCTTTGCTTCATCTAGACTGGCTAACAGCCAAGGCAAAAGAGACCAATCTGCTCTACTATTTAACCCATAGCTAGAGTAAGATGGATTCTTCCCTTTTCCAAATACATTGACACAAAGTGAACGATAGAGCAGGAATTAAACATAGTACACCAATTTCAATTTCCAAGCCAATAACTTTAGCGAGATTTGAACTTGTTGGATCATTTAATGTCGAATTTTGTATGGAGTACCCAGTGACATTCAAACTCACAGTAGTAATTGTAAACCAGACTAATCTCACTAACCATTGTGCTATGCTGAAGCACCTGACATTATGGTACAGCAACCAAGTTGTTATGAGAACAAAAGGTGAAATGTCAACTGTCGAAATAATTTTTTTTTATTCCTTTGTTTTTGGGGGGTTTTTTATGGTTTATCAACCCTTTGTAGGTTATTTAAAGTCAAAACATTTTAGATTGTAAGAATAATTCTTTTTCCCTGATTGAATATTGCATTAACAATTTGAGAATAACAATGATTTTCCCCAGATGCAACTACTATTTAACCCATAGCTGGGAGCAGGTATCACAAAGAATCAATGTATAAACACAACCAGAATCATAAAAATTTAATATTTGCAAATATTTTTTAAAAAAATAAATAAAAATTTACTTACAGGGTAAATCAAATTTGTACCAAGTTGAATGGAATGATGCCGAGTGACTTTTGCAAAAGATGCGAATGCCATTGTCGTCTTCAGAGATTTTATCTATCGTCAATGATAAGGCAGAACCATTGAGGCATTTTACATCAGTTACCCAATTTGTGTGGTGATATCCCACACCCAGAGTACTATGGGGTATTAAAGTTCCATTGTTACAAGTACGGTTTACCTGAGTTGCGTACGTAAATATATAAATTCGACCAGGTAGATTCCACGTGACCCGATTTGAACCCACGTCCTCCGTGTCCTGCCATGTGCAGAGGAATTTTGCTGGCTGGCCTATGCTCAATGTGGCATTGTTGCTTACAAGGCTTATTTTTGCAGCAAAGGATTCTTGAAAAAAAAATAAATAAATAAATAAAAAATAAAAAGAAGTCAATACAAAAATATAATCAAAAGGTTGTTTCACAGGAAATAAAGAATTATGAAGGAAAATAGGAAAAAAAATGACTGTCCCGTAATAGCTGATAAATTTAGTGTATGAAACGAGTATGCAAATGTGTCATTTAATATGGGACAATAGTAGTATTACATAATTATATACTCCGTCTTATAATAGTTGATACATTTAGTGTATGAAATGTAAGAACATGGGAAGTGACTTTTGCTTTGAGGGTTATACACCTGATGCAGGCTGAAGAAGGAATCAGCCAAAACATCTCATCTGGAAAACAGAGATAACCAATTGTATTCATTAATGTTCACTGAAGAATAGATGCCCAAAATTTTCTTTCCTAAATCTTTCCTTAAATTTTCTTTGTCACGGACTCAAAGATGAACATTTTAAACATTTGAAGTAATTAAAAATAGAACATTTTATTAAAAGAATATTATTTGAAAAACATATTTAAAGAATATTTTATATATTTAATGCTTTCAACTGATTAGAGGACATGGCCCAAATATTTTCTCAATCAGTCATGGAGACTAATAATTAAACATTAAAAAATCTCAAGTTTCTCACAAACAATCACAAAAGAAACTCCAAAATATACCTTAATGAAGTTGATGGATTTTACAACATATAAAACTTTGTTGAAATCATTTTCTTTTATAATTCTTTGGCAAATTCTTGTCATTTAGACTCAGGTCTGCAGCTGAGTGTCAGTTGTTTGCAATTGGGTCTAAAAGGTGAGCGTTGACCATTTGCATGCAGGTCTAAAAGGCAAGTGTTGACTGCTTGTACTCAAGCCTAAAAGGCAAGCATCGACCATTTGCACAGAGGTCTAAAAATCGAGCGTCGACCATTTGCACAGAGGTCTAAAAATCGAGCGTAGACTATTTGTGCACAGGTCTAAAAGGCGAGCATAGCTCTTTTATTCTCAGGTCTATAGATGAATGATTGTCATTTATACTCAAGTCTATATCAAGCATTTATATTTGTAAGTATTTACTTGGTAGGTGGCCACTAACACGGCATTGTTCTTGCCCCTCTGCAGTAGATGCATTTGACATATTCTAGATACATTCAAGATGGCACTACATTGCTTTATAGAAAAGCATGGTGACCAATGTTTAGCAAGCTCCTGTCATGTACCAATTCATAAATATAGTGAATTTGATCCACACTGCGTGCCCCAATACTATAACATTATAAACTAATCCGAATAAAAAAAAAAAAAAAAATCTACAACAAATTGATGGTTAATAATCTCATTTTGACAATTTGTACAATCTGTTCAGGTACTGATCTACTGGGGCCCTGTGCCAGATTAAGTAATGCTCAGTAAATAATAATTTTACAATGCCTTGTTATGGAAGTGGTTCATAAGCTAGTTTCACAAACATTTATTCCCATAGTAGGGTTCAATCATCACTGGATGCTCTCTTACGTCAAATGCCTTATGTCAAATGAATCTAAGCTTAGTAAATATCCTGGATTGCTAGCATGGGTCAATTTGCTAGTGTAGTGTTTCACCCTGACCTCAACTAAGTGCCAAGTGTCATAGTAAATAAATTTTTATGAAAGAATTTAATGAAGGAATCAAGTTTTCTCTAACGTGCAGGGTTTTGTTAGTCACAACATTTGGCAACACAATGTGTTGATTGTCACTCGAAATCAATGAAGCCAGAGATAATGAAACTCGACATTTAAATGCTTTTGCCAAAATTAAACAAATTCCTGGTTTTAATTTGAAGAGGTTGGAAATTAGAGTTGACTAAACAATGAAATGTAAACATGAAAAATTATGCAGAAATAACAAAAGTTGTTTTTTTCATTATATTCATTTCATAATGAAACATACTCTTAATACAGTCTGTTGGGCTTGAAAAAGAAATAAAAAAAACTATATTAATTCACACTGCCATATTACCCTATATATATATATATATATATATATATATATATATATATATAGAGAGAGAGAGAGAGAGAGAAGTTTATATTTACCCAGGAGAAAAAAAAAACAAAAAACACAATATTAATTCACACGAACAAATTTCCCTATATATATATATAAATAAATTGTTTCACCCCAAGCAACATGTTAATGCCACAAGGGACTACTGGGAGTGAAAGAACAGGAGAAGACTGAGAATATGGAGGATTGAGGAAAGGACAAAAAAGGAACAGGGTTCAAGAAGACAGAAGATGGTGATTGACGTTGCATTTAAATTTTTGAAAATCTAGCTGTCAGGTAAACAAAACAAATCAGGAGTTCCACAGGTGAGAAAAGAAACTGTTAGAGTAGAAAAGATGGTTTTTATATATATATATATATATATATATAAGAAAAATACAGAAAAAACCAACAAAAATCTTAATATGCAATTATGCTGTATTAATACAGCATAATTGTATATTATGATTTTTGTTTGTTTTTTTCTGTATTTTTCTTCATACTGTTGGATCTATATCCATATATTTGCTTATATATATATATATACACACACACACGAGAGAGAGAGAAAGAGAGCACAGCTTATTTTTACCTTAAAATTTTTTTTAAATTACTAATTCATACTACCATATTTTCCATCATATATAGAGCCCTCCTTTTTTGTCATTTTCACTCTCACTGAACCGGTATTTTTCTTTTAAAATCATTTCACCCCAACAGATACAATAAAGCCACTAAGATGCAAGGTGGGTTACTGAGTGTAAAAGAATGAGAAAAAGGAAAACTCTATTAAGGAGCGAGTATAATAAAAGATCAGAATTTAAGAGGACAGAAGAAAGTGATTGACATTGTATATAAATTTTTGAAGATTAAAGTTGACTGGAATACAAGAAGCAAGAAGAGAGTTCCACAAATAAGAAGTGTGAGAGAAGAAACTGTTAGCATAGAACTTACACTTAACATCTAGCCATTTCAACTGTAAAAAGATGAGATCTTGCCACCAATATCATACTGTGCTTAAATTCACATAGTTTTACTACTGTAAAAGGAAAATTTCATCAGAACAATTACCATAAAAATATTTAGAGAAAAGGCATAGAGAAGCTACGTTACAAGAGAAGGAAAGTAACTGAATTTGAGATGCCAAGTCAAGACCAATAAAATTGCCTTCTCCTCATAGGTTGGAGGTCATCCAGTTAGCTTATGTGGGTTAACTGACTTGTGGCCCAGTTCTGCATTCTGTGACTATGAGGCCTCCTTTTTGGTCATCCCTCAAAGCACCTATGTTCTTAGTATATCATATAAAATGGAGTCACCACAGATCAACTCTCTTTAGATCAAAGGTTCTTGAGGAACATTAAATTTTTTCAACCCTCAGCTATTTCTTGGTATTAATCACATACTATAGTCAGATTTCAGAAAGTGAGTAAGACTGAACTTTTTCAGCACCTCCTCATGTAATTTGCCAACACATGTTCGATCTTAGGAAAATACAGTATTTATAGTTTTTAATGGCTGTCATACAAATGGAAACTTTTCAATTTGAACTAATACTGCAAAGGAATATCAAAGTCTCCAAAAATAGCAAAAATTGCCATTAATTTTTTTTAACTCTGTACAGCTCTATATCTTCCTAGGAGAGATTTTTCATTGGGAAGTTCACACTACATGGATTAAATAAAGTGTTTTCAATTTAAAATTTACAGAAACAGACCTCTTAAATGAAATAGTGTGAATAGAAGAAGCGAATGTGTTCAAATGAATCAATAATGTATAATAATGATCGTTCACTACCATAGAAATTCAGACAAGTTAAACTGCACAAGTATAACAGCCCCAAAACTATTGTGATAAAAATTATATATCAGAGAGAAAAGAGGAAAGGCAAGAAAATGATGAAAAATGATCACAACATTCAATGCACAGAAAAAAAAAATTAATATATAAACCTTACACCAATAACTAGCACATAAATTAATGTTTGACTTAATATAAAAATAATATAAAAATAACAAAAATGAGAAAATATGAGGCCACTTGATGAGTGAACAATTACAAAACAGTTCATCTACGTAACTCCAGAGTTGAGATGCGAAATATAGCCTCAATCAGCTAAGTGACAAAATTTATTTTTTGTATTATATACATACATACATACATACATATATATATATATATATATTTGATGCGATGAGAACAAAAGTAATATATAAATTCCAATGTTCACAGTATTAATCCAAACTCGACCTTTCCTCCCCTACCTGTCACTCTTAGGATACTTGTGAGATGATGTGCCTACACTTTTGACCAGTGTTTATCAGCAAAAAATTTCCACAGACCAGTCAATATTAAACACCCAATCCATTCTTCACCAAACTACTATCAACAAGCACTAGTGTTTCACTCCGTCACCTATTTCGTTTTTTTTTATATTTTTCTTCTCAAACAAATGGAAAAAAGGAAATGATGTTTCACATACAGCTTGCCTACAAGCAGGATTGTTCATAACCATTTCCGATTCTCACCTGTCGAAGTGCAGTTGAAATGCACTGAAACCAAGTTGCATCTTTGTAGTGAGTAAAATGGTTGTCTATATGATAAAATTTGAAAAAAAAAAAAAGAAAAAGAAGAGAGAGAAAAAAAAAAAAAAAAAAAAAAAAAAAAAAAAAGAAGAGAGAAAAAAGAGAGAGAGAGAGAAAAAGAAAGAGAGAAAAGAAGAGAAAAAAGAGAGAAAAAAAAGAGAGAGAAAAAGAAAAAGAAAAAAAAGAGAAAAAGAGAAAAAAAGAAAGAAAAAACCAGAAACCTCCAAATAGAGCAAAAGAAATCATGCACTAGCTTAAATTTCCGTTACAAAGAAAAAAAAAACCCAGTGAGTAATAAGTTAAAACAAAGAGAAGTAGAGAAAAGGAAAAAATAAATAAATACTAATGAGCCTACCTAGGTTTCACCTCATGGGATCATCAGGGTGAACTGATCCCATATGATGAAACCAACAGTAGGTAGTACATTAGGAGATTTTATTATATATATATATATATATATATATATATATATATATATATATATATATATATATATATATATAAGAGAGAGAGAGGGTGCGATGGGTAAATTGTCGCCACTTTATATTTTTAATTTCATGTATGTGTGTTTTTGTCAACTGAACATTATAGCAGGGTCAGTTAGGCACTATCTGTGTGAGAAATAGCACCATACAAATCATTTCACCAGAAATTTGGAAACACCATGCTATAATGCTTGGTATTCACATTGGAAGCCCTAATACAAATATTTCAGAGTGTCCAGATGTAAATCTGAGGACAGTGCAGAGGGCTCAGAAAGAGTTGGATGAGTCTAATGGTGATTACGAGGGTGTTTGAAGTGATAATTAGTGATGCCTCCATTCATCTTCATACAGGACCTCAGACTCAACACAGAGGCCTACATCAAGTGCTGTGAGGAGGTAGTGCTACCCTGGGTAATGAGGGTGGCTGCTGGAAGACACAATGTCTGGCAATAGGATTCTGCAGCATGCCACACAAGCAAGAGAACTGTCAATGCTGTCAGACAATTTCTGTTACCACATCACTCTTTCCATCTGGCCACCTAACTCCCCAAACTGCAGCCCTATTGATTAGTATGTGCGGGGCACAGTTGAGCGAGAGATCAACAAAACTCCTTGTAATATGAAAGATGAACTGAAGGCAAGGAATATGGCAGCATTCATCAACTTAAGCAAGGAGACAGTTCAGAGGAGTTGCAGGAGATTCCAAAGCCATTTGGGGGCCATGGTTGAAGACAATGGCAATTTCATTGAATAAATTTACTCTTTAGTATTTCCAGATATTTTTGTATAATTTTGGTAAATATATCCGTTAAAATGAGATGTCAGTGTTATTTTCATTTCTGCGTAATTTAGATGATAATTTATCCATCACACCATATATATATATATATATATATATATATATATATATATATATATATATAATTAAATGCATACATAAAAAAGATGAAGTAATCAAAACCTAATTAGAAAAAAAAAAAAGTCTTTTTTATGTTATTCTAATATTTAACTAAACACCTGTTTTACCTACCATAAAACGCGAGACTGGCCACAATAAAAATCACAGAATTTCTACAACATTGCATGATCTGAAAAATTAGAAAAATAATTTTTTAAAAACACAGAAATAAAAAAAAAAATACATACAAAAATAATTAAAAAGAAAAAAACAAATTTAAAAAATAAACACTAAAGTTTTAAAAATAATTTAAATACTTAAAAAACAATTTTAAAATTAAATAAATGTTTGAAATGTTTAGCTTTCTTGATTCACTACTCCAAGCCGATCGCAAAATCTGTACAAGTTGCTTTTTATTTGCATCATTAGAAAGAAAGTTCTTCCAGTCTCTCGGACACCTTGTTTTTTCCCTCCTCCAATAATGAGTTTTTCTCCACCACCCCTCCTCCTTCTTCAAGGCCTTTAACTTAGCATTTTTTGTACATGTCAGTACTAAATATCACAGAACACTTTTGTAATACCATTTTGAAAATAACTTCTGAGATTTCCTCAAAAGTTTGTGGGATCTCTTTCAGACAATGAAAGATTGCATTTTTGTCCATGAATATTGAGCAACTTTCTGAATTTTCTGGAAGTAGTCCATCGTCAATATAGTCCTATGCTGTAAAGCAGAGAGACAAGTGGGTGGCAGTTCATGAGCTTTTTTAGGTCTAATTTACTATGCATTTTTTTGCGATAAGACTAAAAGATGAAATGTGATATTCCATTGCTGTTTGTATAAATTTGCTGTTTGTGTAAATTACTAGTTGTCAATGGCCATTTTGTATCATTGGTGGTCATAAATGTTTCAATGACTTCATCTGTTAGCAAACCAGCAACATTTTTCAATTAATCACTTTGGCCCAATTGGTAACCTTTCCTTACTGCAGTAGTAATGTCCTTTTGAATGTTCAACACCAGGAATTCTTTTATAGGCTGGCCAATAAAGCAGAACACCAATTTTTGTTTATATTTTATACATTTCCAATTTTGACTTAAGGTTTTCATGACAATAATTTGGATTTGCAAATAATGTTTCCTGTAAATGCAAAATGCAGAGATCTCTTAGTACTAAAAGTTTAAAATTGTTTTTTTTTTTTTTTTTTTTTGTTTTTTTTAATATGATCTCATGATCAGTCACATTACAGACCACTTCAAATGCTCTTTTATGAGCTTCTACTCAGGCAAATTGTTTAAAATTTGTTAAAAAGGACAAAAGAGTACAGGAAAATACCAATCAAGTTTAGTTTAGTGGTGTAAATAATTTTTTATATAATTGTTTCACTTGAAATTTTTGCATTGATTTGATTTTTCCGGTTTTAGGAAAATCATTTACATGAGGTTTGAAATTATCATGGCATTTCAAGATGGAATGATCATAGCTCTACAAAATGATACCAAGTTTATTAAACTTGGACTATCCAAAGAAATGTTACTAGCCTTAAAGTTTCTCCTCCCCCAAATTCAGATTTCCTTTTTTGTTTAGTGGGTGGGTGTTAAAAACTGGTGAATTTCGTGTGTTATTGTTTTTTGCTGGTCATGTTTTAGATCGGAAAACACACGTTTCCTGGTATATTTATTGCAATGTGAGTCCAGTTAATAACGGACAAAGTAACAACTATATAAAGTGAACATAGAAGTCAACACTTAGAGGTGACAGTGTTTCATGCTAGGCCTGACGATTACATCTAGCATGAAACAGACTGTCGCCTCTAATGGTTGACTTCTATGTTCACTTTTATATTTACACACACACTCTGATATTGAGCACTTTATACCATAAATATAGCACATCTTAAGACTATATTTCTTTTATATATATATATATATATATATATATATATATATAAGATAAGTATATATTAACAAAGCAAAGGTATACATAAACAATTGCATGTGACAAAACATTTAAAGACTAAAGAATGTGTGTGTGTAGTTTGGTGTAGGAGAAAGTCCTAGAGAAAATGAAGTGAAGTGTATGCGCACATGCATACATTCACCATTGGCAAAGCATTTACGTCGTTCAACTTACATCTTATCATCCATGAGTCAAATAGGTTGCGGGGGGGCTGAGGGGAATTTTTGTCCCTGCCCGAGTGTACGCACTCGGGTCCCCACATTAATCCGACCTTGTGTCACATCTCATTCTCATGGGGGAATGAGTAAACACTGCATCAAATAGGAAGAAAAGAATGACAAAGAATGTCAGTGCCTATTTATAGGCTTGGGAAGAGTCCCCTAGTGGCGTTTTTTAAGAAAGTAAGTGGGGTAACTCCACAAGTGAAGTGCAAATAAAAGTATCTGCTAGTAACATTACTTTTTAAGAAAATCCAAAGTTACATGAAAATACCAATCAAATTGTGTTTGGGGTTGTTGGGGGGGGGGGTACATAATTTTCTATGCAATTGTAGCACTTGAAGTTAAAATACTTTCACATTGATTTGATTTTTACAATTTTAGTGAAATCCTTATTGAAATGAGTTTTTAAATTATAATCGGATTTTGGGACAGAATTATCATAACTTTACACAACAATATCAGATTTATTGAAATTTGACAATCCAAAGAAAGTTATTGGCTTTAAGGTTCCCCCTCCCCCCAAAATTTAAATGTCCTTTTTTATCGTTTGGACACATGGGTGTTTCTAGTGTAGTAGGAATGAGTTTACTGCTAGTTAATTTTTGATTCAGGAACCACAGGACCCTGGGCTACAAGAAAATATCAATGAAGTTTATGTTGAGTGGGGGGGGGTGATGAAATTCCCTCCTAGCCTATAGGAACAGCACTGAAATAAAACTATGAAAGATCTCATTTTTCAATGGTAAAAAAGTCAACAAATCCCAGAATTAGTTCAGTACTCTTGAGAAACAGTATTTGACTTTTTATTTAAAAAAAAAAAAAAAAAAAAAAGTTTGCAAATCATTCTTAAGAATTAAAACCAATAAATTTTAATTTTAAGTAGGAGATTTTTTTTAATTTTAATTTTTACAAATGAATCGGTCACAAGATTTGTCTTAAATTCAATAGGCTAGATAAAAGAAATCTATAGGAGATAATTAGTATCTTGAATGTGGAAAACCAGGCGGAATATTGGAATATACCCGGGTAAGAAATTTGAATGATGTTTGTTTTTTAACCGACGTTTCTATCTTAGTTTCAACATGCGAGCGTGCGCTAAAAATGCCGGACTGGCTCGGGATTGACTTTTAAAAAAATATTCTCTACGTAGGCAAAAGTTACAGGTACATTTTTTTTTCTTTAATTATTTGTTTTTTGTTTTTTTGTTTGTTTTGTTTTTTTTTTGCTGCTTTTCTAGCGGAAACTTTGTTTATTTTATAAAGTAATTTTTAGCAAAAAAAATATAGAAAAAAGAAAAGTGCAATAAAATGCAACGTTCGCAGGAAGATACATTTTTTTAGTGCATATGATACAAGCCGCAATTGTTCTTTTTCCTGTAACAAATGAAGAAAAATTCTTTCTTCATCCATCTGATCCTAAAAAAAAAAAAAAAAAAATCACTAACAACTGATTAGACAAGATGTAAATTAATACAAGTGATAAATAAAATCAAAATCTTATTCTTAAACATTACTACTGCAAACAACTAGGTGGACAAAACACTCGCTAGCTAATAGTCATTCAAACAAAGTGACTTGTTTTTGTTTTTTTAATTAATGCGTAGCAGCTAGCAGCATCCTTCTCCTTCCTAAAACTTACAGAAAGAGAATTGATAAAATAAATATTAATGAAAAATATAATGTCAAGAAAAATTCTTACCATAAACTTGGTGGAGAAATGTTGTGAGAGTAAAAAGACTTTTTTTTTTTTGCTTGTTGGGGCGAAGGAAGGGAGGCGCAAACGACCAGATTAAAAGTTCATAGCAGCCTGGCTAGGCATTTTGCCACCGTCCTAAACCCTCCCACACGACACTTCAAAAGCTCGATGACAAATTAAAATTAAAAATGTCCATATTGTAAGCAGCTTCATATATACTATTATTATTATTATTATATGTTTAAATTGTAAAATAAGTTTTTGATTAAAAAAAAAAAAAAAAAAAAAAAAAAAAAACTAGTAAAAAATTTAGCTGGGGAGAAAGTTGGCCTTACCAAGCCTAAAATATCTCCTCAACTTTGACCTCGGCCTAACGGAAACAACTTCTACAAAGCTGAAAATACATTTCTAGCGCTTTTAATAGATTTTGTTTTGAAGGAAGTTTTCCCCTCCCACACATACAGCTTTCTGAATAGTGAATAATAATACCATTGTCAAGTAATTACAAAGGATTTCTGGTTTTAGTCATAATATTTTTGAGAAATAAAAAGATGTTTTGTTTTTGTTTGCTGAAAAGAAAACAAATTGAAACCTAATTTTTGCATATTTTTTTTTTTTTTTTTTGAAACTTACAAATCCATTTTTCAGTTTTGAACTTTTATTAATTTGATTTTTCGTTTTTAAAAAACAAAGACTGCTCAAGAAATTAAGAAAATATAAGTGAAAACAGAAAACTTTACATTACAAACGTCAGTTCTCAATATAGCATGACCATGAACTAAGGAAGCTGGTATAATTAGAAAGTTGAAATTTCCCGGATAAAACAAAACTTGAAGAATTTTAACTAACAGTACAGGGCAAGAGAAGCAAGGGGAAACAGCGAGTGACCTATTTAACAAGTTTGTGTGAATGAATGGCAAAATAAGGTCAAAGATGGATGGTTAAAAAAAGGTCAGAAGTTTAAAACAACAAAAGACAGCAAAGAAGAACCATGATCGCCCACCTCCTGAAAGAAGGACATATCGAAGGTAGATATAACAAAGATCATTAAATTAATGAGAAAAGAAACCCCCCAAAATACTGAGAAATGAAAAACACCAATTAAACAATTACCGCAAATAGTCAACAAATCAATTGATTTGACTATTACGGTAGTGTGATTGTTTAATTACCGATCTCAATATTTCTTTCTAAAAACGAATAATTGTTTTAAAAGTAAATAAAACTGAATAATAGATATATAAATAAATAGGGAAGAAATTAATTGTAAAAATATTTTCCAATTCTATTCACTTTTCTATTTGGTCTTGTTGA